CGAGAATCGTTGAAACGATTGTCGTCTGCGTATCGATCTGCATCAGATCGATACACTACTCGTAACGGTTTGCTGTATTATACAGCCGTCTCTGGTGACACACCACGTGTTGTCATTCCAGATGATACTGATCTGCGTTTGCGGATCATGTTCGAGTATCACGATGCTCCTATAGGAGGACATCGTGGCCGAGAGAAAACATATCTCACGGTAAGTCGAGACTTTTACTGGACCCGCCAGTATCAGTTTGTGCGAAAGTATGTCCGCGCATGCGAAGTCTGTCAACGAGTGAAGTCAAGTCCTTCACTGCGTGCACCTTTACAGCCTCTACCAGTTTCAGCTGAGTGCTGGGAATCCATCTCAATGGATTTCGTCTTCGGGTTACCCAAAGACGCACGCGGGAATACGGGTATTCTCGTATTTGTTGACAGATTCAGCAAAATGGTACACCTCGTGGCTGTACCAGAGACAATCACGGCAAGTGGCTGTGCTTGTGTCTTTATTGACACCATCTTCCGACTTCATAAGTTGCCCCGTGAACTCGTATCAGACAGAGATCCACGATTCACTGCTGATTTCTGGCGTTCCGTGTCCAAATCACTCGGAACGCGCTTAAAGATGTCGACATCTGATCATCCAGAGTCAGATGGTCAGACGGAACGGTTAATCGTGTCCTTAAAGGGATACTTCGAGGATACGTACACTCCTTTAAGAGTTGGAGTGAGTTTTTGCCAATGGTAGAGTTTGCCATCAGCAACTCGGTGCATGCGTCCACGACACATACAATACGCTTGCGCCATCCGCGTGTACCCACCTTACTAGAGTGTAACTCTGGTTTAAGCGAAGGAGAGAATCGCACGAGCAAAAACCGATTTGGTCCACGCTCATCACGCTCTGACGAAGAGGTCATTGCGTTTAATGCCGATATCGATAACATCGATATCGAAGAAGATGATGCCAGTGAGAGAGCGGAAGCCCTCACTGAAGAAAGGATTCATGTTGCTGCAGTGCACTCACAGCGCACTGAAGCTAACGAGTCATCAGATGAGTTCATACTGGCTCGTGAAACGGTAGTCCGTTTTGTGCAAGACTCCATCGCCGAAGCGGTGGATAAGCAAAAGCAAAACGCAGACAAGAATGGAAGGACAAACACTCTTTTATTTAATAAATGTGACTTAGTCCTACTGTCTACGGTTAATCTACCAAAGCATGTAGTGACTAACTCGGGTAGCAGTAAACTACTACCCAAGTACATCGGACCATTTCGTGTATTGCACCGCCTAGGCAATGCATACACGATCGAGTTACCACGTAAGATGCGAACGCATCCCACGTTTTACGTTGGACGGCTTAAGCCGTACCATCAGTACGCTGCTTCTTCCGATGAAGAACGCCCTTGCGCTCAAGCATCTCGCAGAGAGCCTTGTGCTCCCGATGGTGGGCATCAACAAGGGTCTGAAGAGCAGCTATCTCATCCCGAGACCGATCAGCAATCCCACGAGCTACCCTTAGCTCGTCACGAAGAGATGTCAGAGATCTCTCGTTCTCAAGCTGAGCAAAGGCAAACTCAGCTCGATGCTTCGAGGAAGTGTCCGCCATTTGGAGACGCCTATTCCGCTCATGTTCGAGATCGTCGCGTGACCCTTGCGTTACGCGAGCAAAGAAGCTCTCGGGAACACACCGATCCCCATGATCGTGTGGAGAGCGTCTTTCCTCCACCTCCATTAGAGGACTCTCGCGGTGGCCAGCGCTATCTAGTTGAGCAGCTGTTGAACCACCGCGACGTGAACGGACGTCGGACGAGTTATCTCGTCCGGTGGCGCGGCTATCCCCCGTCCTGGGATACTTGGGAGCCCCGCTACCAACTGATGATCGACGTACTGGGTCTGGTTGAGCAGTACGACGCGGCACATCCTGTGCCGCAGAAGGACCGCCGGAGAAAGTCTTCCCGGCACGGTCGTAAAGAGATTTCAAGTTGTCAATCCCTTCGTACATCTCAATAGAGATACGTACGCGCCACCACGGGCTATTAGGGAGGTAAGCCTCCTTAGGTGCTCGTGCAGAGTTGTTCACACAACATGGGCACGAGTCTCCCCAAGAGAGGCAGGGTAATCCCTTCTCCCTTGACAGACGATACAGCTTGTAGCGTGCACCTGTCGGGGTTCGCTTTTCAAACTTATCACGAGCTTTGATAAGTTTGTCGTTTCAAACGTCACGACCTACCTCCTCAAGGTTATGGATGTAGGCGTTCCACGCTTGAAGCAGTGAGGGACCATCACGCTTGTGATTCCCACTGTACCATCGATGTCTAAAGAAAGCATCGATGAAGAATTCATTCTCAGCGCGATAGTTTTTCGCGCTGGGGTCAAGGTGATGGATCCTTGACGAATCGAACAATCGTGTTCAATAACGATCACTCGTCGTCGCCGACAAGTGATCCATGACAGATTTTGGAGGCATCCATGCCTTCTTCTCGGGAGCGAGACGCAAGACATTGCGGTCACGCTCTTCCTGCGATGTGCCGACAGAAGTACTGGCATCTCGTTGCGAATCGGTGTCCATAGGAGAACCGACACCACTGTTAGCGCCCGAGTCTCGCGACCTCGAGCGCCTACGCTTCGGCGATGGTTCATATGATTCATCAGATGTACCAAAGATGCTGCGACGCATAGCATCATCCATGCTACGCTTGGCAGGCGGCTTAGATTCGATCGCCGTCGATACGGATCCGTCTTCCGTATCAGGAGAGTACGAGACACCGAGCTCGTACTCTGTGAAGGCATGAGTGTCTTCATGACCAGCGCCTGCATCACCAAGTGACACAGGCTGAGTCGCTTCAGCAACCGATGAGACATCAGTTGCTGCGGTTTCTGCTTCGGCGTCCGCACAGAGACGTGCGGACGCGCTCTCGGCGGCCTTGCTCGCGCATCGCATGGGCTTGTTAACCATGCGATGAGATGTTGGAAAGTGAACTCGGACCAACAAGTGCAAACCCTGTCCCAAATGATTTGGGACGAGTATCCATTTAGTCAATCAGTCACTAAAGTGACTGATGGTTAAGGGGGGGTGATGTAACGGGGTGAATCGTTACATAACAATTTATAAGAAATTGTTAATAGAATATAACTAAAAGAGTTATATTCTCAGAATATTGTCATAAGGACAAATATTCTGCAGCACTTACGAGTAGTTCCTAATTGGTTGATATAGGCCATTGTATCAACCAACGAAGACGCGCCACGACAGACGCACGCAATGAGTGGTGAGCAGATAGTTGATTTACACATTTGTATTTAGACATAGTTAGATGAAGATAAATAGTGATTTATTGCAGACATTAACTATTATAAATACAGTTCTACTTCTTACTTTAACCAAGTAATCGCTTCTTCTTACCGTCTTCCTCTGCACGTACGAGTGTACGTGAAGTTCCGAGGCACCGCCTTATTCTGTCATCAGAATAAGTAGCTTGTACTGTCACCAGTACAAGCTTCAGGGTGCCCCGTTACAACATCATTCCGAACAAATGTATTGCTGGTCACGTTGGTAACAACTGTTGCACATTAAGTTGTTTGTGGGCTAATGCGGTTGTCGTTATCGTTACAAGACACGGAAAGAAAGGAGAAATCAAATGGAAAATTCTCAAGCCCACGCTACTCCACAGTTTTAACGATGTATTACGATTCTGAATTGAGCTATCAAATTAATGCTTTTTCGAGCCATGTATATGCATTGGGCTCTGACCCTGGATAGTTAAATCGGATCGACCCGGTGTTTGACCCAGCTGTTCCGGGGCCTGGGTCGAGTTCTGAAATAGACTAATGACCCATTACTCTCATTTATTTCCTCCCCAAATTTTGTTTTCAATCACCCAGATATTGTATTTTCTATCTGATTTAGGATGCCGAATAGAGCTCTGTGTTCCAATTCTAGCACACGTTATACTCATTAGGGAGGCTTGTATCAGTCTTTCATGACTCCTGGTAAGCATTTTATGATGTCTGTAAAAGCCAATTTACTATAACCATTCCATGAAAATGGAAATAGGTCTGATGCAACTTGAAACTGCATCGTCGGTCGCCTCCGCCGCCAATGTCCCCAGCAAACAAAGGGTGCTGTTAGTAGCAATGACAAAAAAAGACAAGCTGGATTTATACGTACTTCGTAAGTCTCTGAGAATAAGGCAAAGCTGTTGGTCAGTCTCCAAAGCTTCGTGGCGTATCAGTTATTTGCGGAGTTACATATATAATATGTACAGCTACGAGCGATAAAAAAGTTGGCCAAGCATTGATGAGCAAGCATTAGATACGTGATAAGCTACTTGAAAAAGGTGCTATGAGTGGTTTTCTAATCAGAATATCTGAAGGTGTGTATATTTCATAAATTAATGTAGTCGAGTTTAATTTGAAGACATTGCTCAATTGCAATGGGCCACCCCGTTGCGTTAGTAGTTTTGATTAAGTTTACATGTTACTTAAGTAGGGGTACTACTTTAGGGGTAGCGGAAGTAGCACGTCGTATGTTTTAGCTGGTTTAATGGGCTCAGTCCCATTATCAGCCAGTAAGGCATAGGCACGTAGATTGAGTGGTTCCCGTGATTTTAAGCACCCATTCGTACTTATGATGATAAAAGACAAAATTATAGATAGAGTTATAAATACTAAACACCTAAGACTTGGGCTTTGAGTCTTCCTCAAAGCGTTAGAAATTGTGTAAGCTGAGTACGGGTTGTTCTAGCCCGTTACACCTGGTAGCCATTATCATTCCTTCCCATTCCCGAGTTTGGGATGAGCAATTCGCCATTCTTTGACGCTCCAGACGTGAGTCAACACCAGTGAGATGAGGACAAGTCGCGTCTGGAGCACGCGACTTTTCCTCATCTCACTGGTGTTGAGTGGGATACCCTAAATAGCCTCGCGGCGATATCTGGAGAGGCAGTCGTTCTGTCGCTGATGAATTCAGCGACTCCTGATGGTCAGCGTCTCGCCATACACGACTTCATGGTCCGCGAGCTCACCGAATTAAATTGGCGAGGTTCAACTCCCTCGCGAACTTCACGGAACGATGCTGTGAAAATTAAGACCTCCGTCTACTATGACGAAGGCAAAGAACGCTTTTCGCTGTCGCGCTGGTTCCGAGAGGTTGACACCACTATCGCCTTGAGACTTCTCGAGGCTCCTCAAGCGAAGGTCAACTTCCTCCTTTCCCGTCTCAGTGGGAAAGTCAAGGAGTGGGCGTTGGATAAACTCGTAGTGGACGAGTGTGCGTTCCCCACTTTGGAAGCCATCTATAACGACCTTCGACTCGCCCTAAAGCCGCCTCAAAAAAGAGAAGCTGGTACGTTCAAGGTTCCTGTACTTGCGACTGGGTAAGATGTCCATGTAATACTACGTGCAGATGGCTCGACATCTGGCGTCGCGCATTATCGCGCATCCCACGGACATTTACACACAAGTGAACGTGTTTGTCGATGGCATGCGTGAAGGGCAGACTCGCCTATCGCTAGAACGCGCGGAGCCTGCCATATGGAGAAGGCTTTCGCTATCTCCCTCCGCGAGGACTTTAAAGTCACCAAGGCCTATACCAAGCCTTCAGTTGTTACAACTGTCAGATCAGCGGGCTCGGAACCTATGGAGATTGATGCGATTGAGTCGTCGGGTGACCGACGACGTGTTACGTCCTACAAGGGCAACGTCCGTAGCGGACGTCAGATGATCTGCTTTCGATGTCGGATGTCGGGACATCGCGCGGCTGAATGTCGCGCGCCAGAACCGATGTCGGTGCATGCGACGGACACCCGTCATGAGGGAGGTGCTTCGTTCACTCGTCCAATAAACGGACGAGATCAGTAGGTGCAGGGCGCCCTACTGATGTGAAGGGGGGTCCGGGTCCACCGGTGGCAGCCCGACCTCCCAGCCCATCTGTGCCGCGCGCACTGTCAAATGCCACCACTACGAGTGGTGATTCACGCCTGATTATTGTTGATCTGCAAGTCGCCGGTATCCGGCGACCTCTACGAGCGCTCATGGGTTCAGGAGCGACTAACAATTTCTTCCGTGAATCTTACGTGTCAATGCTGCCACCCGGCATCCAGGTTCACGAGGGACCTGGCCAAGTTGTGGTCAAGCTCGCTGACGGGAAACCACGCCGCGTATCGCGACGCGAAGTGTCGCTGCCATTCACGTTTGAAGGCTTTCGCAGTAACGACAATTTCTTGGTGATTGAGATGAACTATGATTTCGATTGCATCCTGGGCATGCCATGGCTGTTACGCTATAAGCCCAAGATCGACTGGCTAGCCAGACCAGCGAGGCGTCGAAGTAAGTTCGACGTCAGCAAAGTGTTCACCCATCTCTTGGTGTCCCCAAGTGATTGGCCGAAGGTAAAGACGTAGATGGTACATCCACGACACCGGCGGTGCACAGAGTGAGCAATGGCCCTCTCTGTACCGCTTGTTCCGTGCTCTTACGCACAAGTGACAACGTCTCCTCGATTTGCAGCGAAGAATACGACGTGGACGAGTAGGGGATCCCGCGTAATGACGACGCGGACGAGCAGTGGCTCCTTTAACGAAGACGACGCGGTCTAGCAGAGGTCTTCGCGCACAAACGAAGCAGTCGAACAGAGGTTCCCGCACGAGATAGCAGTGGTCGAACAGGTGTTCCCACCTGCACCTGTTGTGGTCGAACAGAAGCTCTTAAAAAGGCAAGATGTGGCCGAGCAGGGGCTTGCCACCAAGTGTGACGTGGATGGACAGGAGTCCCCACGTGCGAACATGATGGTCAAACAGGGGTTCCCATCATCACCTACTGTGGTCGAACGGAGGTTCCCACATGAGCAAGACGTGGTCGAGCAGAGGCTCCCACACGAGCTTGTGGCGGTTGAGCAGGGGCTGCCGCATCATGCGTCGACAGACGAGTATGTGCTACTCTCGTCTCGCGATTTCAACGTCCTGGATGAGGACATTTAGCGTTTAGAGGGGGTGCAGATTTAACACCTGACTGCGGATCGCCAGCTTTGAGCATGGACTCAAAGCACAATGTGGACGCAAGCTACGGGAACTCAGCGTTGGAATGTGTCCACGCTATTGTGTACGCGGACGGGAGTTCACAAGGGCGCCAATAAATTGAGGTCGCGAGTCCACCTTGTGACGCGTCGTCAATTACGAGCCTTCCAGGACTCTCCTGGAAGCATTCTACGCGATCTCAAGGAAGGCACGGTATAACAAGATTGTATGGTCACCAACGAGGTGATCTATGAGCCGGATGAGGAGCGAATGACGCGCCCTCGAAGCGCTGAACAAAAGTCAGCGCGCGAAGAAAGATTTGCGTCGCAATCTTGGGAGGCTCCGCGCGAGTCTGGTGACCCTATCTACGAGATTGCTCGAGAGTACGCAGACGTTTTCCAGGAGAAGAAACGGGCTGAACCTCCTGCTGATCGTGGTATTCGGCACAAGATTGATCTCATACCAAAGTCAAAGTACTGTGTGACCCGACAGTGGCCGTTTCCATAAGACCAGGTCGAGGCCATTGATGCACTCTTTGAAGGTCGTCGAAAGGCGGGCCATTTGTGTGAGAGTATCTCACCCCACTTGAGCCCGAACCTCTGCTTGAAGAAGGATACGGGAGTATGCTGGATAGTGTACGCGTTTAATAAGCTAAACGATGCCACTATCCCCATACAAACGATCATCCCCAGGAAAGACATGGTGTTGAACTCCCGGCGAGAAGTTTCATCTTCAGCGTCATCGACCTTACCGATGTCTTCTACCAGATTCTGATGCGACAGAGCGACATACCTTTCACAGCGGTGAGCACACAAAGTGGTTTGTAATGGTAGTGGCTGGTGATGCCACAAGGATTGAAGAACGCACCAGATACTATAAATCGCATGGTCCCAAGTGTTGAGAACGCTTCGAGACTTTTCTCCAAGCTACTTCGATGACAATTTTGTCCACAGTCGCGCTGAGGGCAACCTCAGTGCTATCCAAGTACATCTTAAACCTTTAAAACAGGTGTTTCAAGTCATGCGAGATAACAAGTTGTATGCAAACTTAAAGAAGTGCGTTTTCTGTGCACCGAAGATTCCGGTGCTGGGTTGCTATGTGAGCAAATTTATGGGTAGAGCCGATCCAGAGAAGGTGTCATCTATCTGTTCGTGGCCAAAAGAAACCTACGGAGTTGCGTCAATGGCTCGGTCTAGCCAACTACTTTCATGAGTATACTAAGGATTACACCGGTTTTACACAACCTCTGTCTTCAACGTTGAAGAAAGAAGCCACGTGGTCGTGGCGTCCCGAGAATCAAGCGGCCTTCAACGCAGTGAAGAAGAGCCTGGTTTCAGCGCTCGTGCGGGTAGTGTAGGTCTACATCAAGCCGTTTCAAGTGGTGTTAGATGCAAGTAATTTTGCCATTGGTTGCGCCCTCATGCATTTTGATCATAAGGACCGTGAAAGAATCGTGAGTTACCAGTCGCGACAGATGAAGGCGACGAAGAAGAATTATCCGGCTCACGATAAGGAACTGCTAGCCATGACTTACGCACTCATCAGGTTTCGAGTACATCTGCTGGGAAACGCATGTTTGCCCTGTATACTGATCATGCATCGCTGCGCAAAAAGATAAAAAATTTCCACACCTGTCACAGCGGATGGCACGGTGGCTCTCTTTCTCCTTGGAAAAAAACTTCGTTGTGTACTGCAAGCCAGGAGAGACGAACATTCTTTCTAACGCGCTGTCCCGAATCCCAGATTACGACCCTCCGATGGCAGTGAGTCGTCAGAAAACTGACGACGACGACGAAGACGATCGATATTCAGTGTGTGTGTCATTGAACTTAACTCAGGTCGCCCCGAGTTATATCTTTTCGATGAAATTGTTGCGGCTTACGCAAACGATTCAGATTACGCGGGTGTCATTGACTATTTGCACGCTCCCAGTGACATTGCACTGGGAGCTCTTTCGCGAACGAAGCGTGATCACATCCAGCGATACAGTATGGTTGTTGACTTGCTGTTGTACAGCATCGATCGGTTCGATTCACCTCAAACGGTAATCGCGAACGATTTGAATTTCGTGCTCGTATCATCCACGAGTATCATAATGCCCCAGTTGGCGGTCACTCGTGCCGCGAAAAGACTTTTGCGGCTGTGTTGCGCAAATTTTTCTGGCTTCACATGTACAAATGGGTTCTTAATTGGATTTGCACAGGCGAAATCTGTCAAAGCGTGAACCATCTACATGGTAGCAGGCCCCTCTGCGACCCTTGACGATTGCAGCTGAGGCCTGGCGCTCAGTGTCGATGGACTAAATGTTCGGATTAGCGCCTAAAAGTCACAACCGAACGGGCATCCTGGAATTTTGTGGTACCATTAAGCAAAATGATAGACCTTGTGCCTGCTCACGAAACGATCATCGCGGGTGGTACCGAGCTAATTTCATTGGCAAAGTGTTTCTTTATCACAGTTCACCAGACGACAATGTCTCAGATCGTGATCCTCGCTTCACATCTGTGTTTTGAACCTAATTCTTTAGCTCTTTGGCACGAAGTTGCAAATGTCTACGGCAGCCCATCCAGAAACGGATTGTCAAACAGAGCGAGTCCACCAAATTCTCGAAGATGTTCTTGTAAGTTATGCTACTTTCTTCACGTTTCGGAGTGCACTCTTGCCACTCGCTGAGTTTGCACTTAATAACGCTGTTCACGAATTAACGGGGTTGACGCCATTCTTTGAGAATTTGGCTCGTCAATCTCGAGTTCCTGCTCTTCTTGCTGTGGTTCATACCACGGCCATTCGTGGCTCCACTCTGGAGGGGAATGAATGTGATAATTAACGATCGATTGCAGATCATGGTATCCTGAGCGCGAAAGTCGTCACCCTTTCTAATGCAAAGTCCGCTGTTTCGACGCCACGAGTAGTGGCCCCCCGATAGATCGATTTACTGCGCAAACACTGATTGGTCCTACTTCGGGTATGCGCTCACCTAAACCCAACTACTCGCCGATTGATTCAGCGCGATCAATTGATGACATGGATTTTTTGGAGTTCATACTCTAACGTCAAGCTTTCACGAGGTTTGTACGAGACACTAATTGATTTGCAGTGGTTAACAGAGAGATAATGCAGACAAACGTGGCAGAAAAGACATTATCATGTTCAAGAAAGGTGACCGTGTATTGCTATCTACTGAAGACCAACGCGATTCGGCAGTTACAAATTTAGGCGCGATTTAGCTTGCGCCACGTTTTGTTGGTCCATTCACGATACTCAAGGGGATAGGCAACGCACACACGCTGGACACCCCTTCGTCACTACGACTTCACCCGACGTTCTGCGTCGGGTTACAGAAGAATCACCGGTCAGCTACGCTGTACGGGTTGCTTCCGACCCCGGAGGCGAGGGCTCAAACGTCGACCTTTCCTCCCGCCTTGCTCGACGCGCCGATGACATCGGACGCGGCCGCACTCTATTCTGTGCGTCCTCAAGAACCTAGCATTTCAGGTTTCTCATCCGTTCTATTAGTTCGCTGGTTGACTGTCGATTCTCGCTCGCAGTTCTCTCAGCGCGCGCGAATTCTCAGTAGCAGGATCGGCTTCCACCTGGGCGTCGACAGCCTTGTTGCCGCTGCTTGTTGATGCGGAATGTCAGAAGCACAGGATTGTGTAGCAACAGCTGGGTCACGAGGACCCTCATCGCGAAGTGTCATCATCACGACCTCATGCACGCGCGGTCTCAACCGCGCACAAGCATCGTGTACGCTAACTCGGGTTTCAACCGAACATGATGCGTGAAAACAGCGCTCTTCGCTTCCTCATAACTTTCCAGACGTCGTTCGGGCGCACGAGTTAGTGGATACGCCCAATCTCGATGCAGTCGACATCTCATGTGCTTTCGTGGCGAACGATAAAGGTACGAACGACGGCGGCGTCGTGGTGAAGTGTCACCACGAGTGCGAGAGATTAAAAGCAGCGACTGTAACGTCGTGGTAAAGATTGACCACGACTACGATACCAATATCGCACGACTGCTACGTCGTGGTGAAACTTCATTATGACAATGAGACAGAAAGCAACGAATAAGGACGAGAGTGGTGCCGCTGTTTGTCGCGCCACGAATAACTACGGTCTTCCGCTACTGCATAATTCTCTCATACCTTCCAATCCAGAGCTGTTCGCATTCGCTAAGTTTTCACTCAGCGACGTGATATCGCCAAGCTGCGCGAGTTGGACGTTGCATCGAGTCAAAAGAGTAACAAGATTCGTGCACGTGGACATAGTAGAATCGGTCTTCATTCCACACACTCTCGCAAATCTTCCCTCGCAGCACGTTAAAAGAGTGATCAGCGTGAAAGTCCTAGCGATAGGCAAGCCACTATCGAAAATTCCCTTCATCCTCAAGCATCCGCTTTTGCCTCCGGACGAACGAGCACCAAGAACGCTGTAACGAATCATACGAGATGCCTTCGAACTCTTTCCGCGTCGTTTGCGGAAGCGCCTATGGTAATCATGTATCGTTGCTAGAGAGTCCGGAGCTTGAGCTCCGGACAGGTCGTACAGCGCCTAAGGGATCAAATGCTGATCTATCACGTGGTCTGCCCGCTGATTGTGCGCGGTAGTGCTGTAGCGTTGGTGTTCGTGTATTCGGTCATCGTTAATTTTGAGAGACCGTTGGGCCTTGTAGTCGAGCACTTACGGCTCGCGAGTGCTGTTGTCAGAAAGGGGTGATGTAATAGGCCACCTTGTTACATAAGTAGTTTCGATTAAGTTTACATGTTACTTAAGTAAGGGAGCTACTTTTGATTTAGTGGATGTAGCACGTCGCATGTTTTAGCTGGTATAATGGCTCAGTCCCATTATTAGCCAGTTAGATACCGGCACGTAGATTAAGTGGATTCCATGAGTCCAAGAGAGCTATTCTTACTTAGGATGATAAAGGCAAAATTGAAGATGGATTTAAAATTACTTAAGACCTAAGACTTAGGCTTTGAGGCTTTCTCAAATTAGTAGATAGTGTAAGTTAAGTACAGGTTATTGTAGCCATATATAAATTAGATTTTCCTGTTGTGATTATTTTTTCATGCACACATCCACAATTTTCGATTCATTTAGTTTGAAACATTTCGTCAGAAGAAGTCTCCGGTATCATTATTCAGCACCAGACAACAAATGGTTTAGTAAATTCTCCGTTCGAATTGCTGCACTTTCCGGGCAGCATGATTTTACTGATATGCTGATTGTAAACCAAGACATCACTGTATAAACGATTTGGAAATGGCGGTGACGAGTACAAATTTCTTTTCGTAGACAAACATGAGTTGGTAGGTGATACCGCATATTTAAACAACTCCTTTGGATCATTCATCCCACTGCAATTGTCCACCGTTATGCTTTCTCATTTACCAGTTAGCTAAAGAATATGTGAACTTAAAGAGATTGCACAAGCCACATCAATTAAGATACACCGTGATGATACGCTGTATAGGTTGCATCAGCACATACTACTCCCTTTAATTT